TATGGAAAGAGTCTTTAAAGTTAATTTCCCTTAGAAAAATCAGATGATCCAGAATTATTGAGGAACTTTGGCTTACATTGAGACATTAAATATGTGTAGATGTAGCTCTGGTTTCAATTTGTTCCTAAAAAGAAAAGAAAAATCCTGATCCCAGTTGATCACTGATATCTCAGAATTATTCTCTCAACCAATTATCCTGCAAGTCCTATCAAAAATCCATTATGTATAGTTAATCTTAATACTAAATCCAATTTCAAAGAATATGTGATAAAGAGCCTCTCAAACAAATTACAGACAATTGCTAAGCTTGACTCAATTTAGATTGAGTTAAAAAACATCCCAGTCTTGCTCTGTAGTGCAGAGTCCTGAATGATCTCACTCTCCACTAACTCAATGATCTCTAGTCTTTCCACACTGTAGTATGTATCACTACACTGCTTACACCTGAACCCATTATAATTCCCACTCTCTTTCTTTGCGGAGAACATTCTTTTACCAAGGAACTGATATCAGTTTTCATTTAATTATTTCTCTTATATCCCTTTAAATTCTGAAGGGATTTTCATTTCTTTACATTGAACTTTGTTGTAGGACACTGTGTGACTGGCACTTGTAAATTCAAAAATTAAATCAAATAATATCAGTTTGGTAGCCAACAGGAAATGACTTTTGATAACATCAAGAGCAATCCATTCCCTAAACATAGTCCCAGAAAAGAAAGTCTGCCTTTTCTGGAAAAATCTGGAGGATGGCAGAGGACTATCTTACATTAAAAAGTGAGAAGGAAAAGTCTCACCGATTGACAGTAAGTGTGTATTCTTCTTGAGCTGTAATATATCTGCTTAATACTTCCAACAACTTACCAATACTGTTGTGGGAAACAAACAAACAAACAAACATAGTCTTTATTTTAGAAAACACATTCAGAAACTGTAAAAGTGTCTTTTATTCACCTGTTGTAATTGTCATCACAGAGGCTTACTGCCTCCCTCTGGGAACCTAGGCCTAGTCCTGGAAGCTTCTCATCTTCGTACAATCTACTATAGACCTAGAATTCTTTTAGACTCTGAGACTTACTGCGGAATTAAGCTCTCCCTTTCTAGTTCTTTCTGAACTCTGGCTGGTTGGTTCAACTTGGCTGTTCTGGTCAAACTGTTTTCTAGACTGATTCAAACTGGCTTCTCAAGGCTTCTGACTGAATGGATCTGCTTGGCCTCAAACTAACTCTAGAAATATGTTCTAATCGTCTGGCCTCTTCTTATTTTCTGGCTCATTCTGTCTTCACATGTGTCTCACTTGTCTCTTCAAACTGTTTCTTTAAAACTACCTCTTTTCCCTATGTGCTTCTCCTCTCCAATAGTTTCTCTTTCCTCTCTCTCTCTCTTTCTCTCTTTTGATAGTCACGGAATCCTATCTCTGATTGCTTCTGTGAAATATTTGTCTGTCCCTCAATTAAATGTCACTTTCAATTAAACAGCACTTTCATGTGCTTCCTTCTACACACTATTGTTTGGCATTATATACTAAGGGCATATCTGCATTCCAGCTAGATCACACACACACACACACACACACACACACACACACACACACACAAGATCTTTGGAAGTGATCAGAGAAGCCATGTTGCTGGATTAAAATTCCTCTACAAGAAGAAACTTTGACAATGACTTTCTTGCCCTGTTCCCTTCAACATTTTCTTCTGCAACCAAGCATAAATGCTAGGATATGTGATTCCATTTGTTTGTGTTGTCATTTGAAAGAAATCAGTATTTGATTTGTTCATTCTACTCTCTGTAATAAATTCAGTATACTTCCAAATTATTCAAAACTTGATGAAGCTCTTAGTTGTTTTTTTTTGTTTGTTTGTTTGTTTTTGTTTTTGTTTTTTTTTTTTTAAAGGCATCATGTGTATGACACTGGGTTGGGGAAGACATGAACAGAGGTCTCACTTTTTATGGAGAAACTGATGACAAACAAAAGGAAGAAAACCACCAAAATCCAAGCATTGAGTTTTATTTGCGTTATTAATAGCAGTGTGGTAAAAGGATTACTTGCAGGAGCAGACATGGCTCAAAGACAGCTATATCACCAAAAATTCACCATTCCATGGACATAACTCATAAATGCTGAGAAACTAGAGTTTTCTGCACAACTTTCAGGCCTAACCTCAACAGGTTAGAGATGTCTTAAAAAAAAAAAAAAAGGAGTGTGAACTGTTTTACTAGTATCTTCATGATTATATCTCTGTAAGTTGGGAAACAAGGGAGGCAGAGAATATACAATTAGTTTTCCTATTGTGGTTAAACTTTTAGACATTCTATTTTGTAATCTTTTACAGTGAGATAAAGATGCCGTATTACTTTACGAATGCATAGCTGATGGAATTTTTGACAAGTCCACATGAGAGGGAAGACTCATGTTTATTCTGCATTTTGGAATATACCAATTAAAGCAAACACATTTAAAATCTCTCACAGCCTGTTTTCCATTGTGCATCCTTCCTTGCCTGTATTTTTAATCTTTGTTATTAGAATCTGAGCGTACATTACTTAATTTACCTTTTTGCACCAAAATGATAATTCACAATAAATTATTCTTAACAATAAAACAATAACATTATGCCTACTTCCATTGACTTCATATGTCACCTCAAAAGCACAGGTCTTTAGTCATTCCATTAAATGAAATAAAACACAAATAAAACCTAACTTTGTTTCATCAGTTATTCTTGGATTATAATGAGTTGTAATTACCTGACACCTATGGTATTGATGAAGCATTTCTTTGTAATAAAAACCTATTAATACATTTGCCATATTTTCTCATAGAGAATATTTGTTATATTGCACAAATATAATGTCAATAAAAAAGGCAGAAAATTTTAGGTTTAAGCTACTGGCTCTTCCATGTAGAAAAAATTCAGTTTATCATAATATCACTTTATTAGTGAACTTAAGATAATAATGACTGCTTTGAAACACTGCTAGGTAGAGTCTTTCAGATGCCTTTTGTGGTAGACTCCTATCATAAGTTCAATGCACATCCCATTTGTCTTTCTAAATGAGGATTAATCACCTTCGCCTGTGTCCACTTGATTATCTTCTTTAGGTGTGTAGATTTCATTATGTTTATCATATCTTGTAGGTGTATATAAGCGAGTATATACCAAGTTTGTCTTTCTCCTTCTGGGATACTTCACTCAGAATGATCTTTTCTAGATCCCACCAGTTGCCTGCAAATTTCATGATTTCCTCCTTTTTGATTGCTGAGTAGTATTCCATTGTGTAAAAATACCACAATTTCTGTATCCATTCCTCCGTTGATGGACATCTGGGTTGTTTCCAAGTTCTGGCACTAAGACTCATAACCAAACCCTCGGCAGAGTGCAGGGAATCATATGAAAGAAGGGAAGTTAGTATGATATGGAAAGGATAGGAGCTCTACAAGGACCAAATATATCTGGGCACAGGGTCTTTTCTGAGACTGACACTCAACCAAGGACCATCTATGGATATAACCTAGAACTTCGGCTCAGATGTGGCCCGTGGTAGCTCAGTAACCAAGTAGTTTTCCAAAGTAAGGGGAACATGGACTATTTCTAACAGGATCTCAAGGGCAGGCTGTTTGACCCCCCACACCCCCAGGGGAGGAGCAGTCTATTAGGCCACAGAGGAGGACTTTGCAGCCAGCCCTGAAGATACCTGATAAAACAGGGTCAGATGAAAGTGGAGGAGGTCCTCCCCTATCAGTGGACTTGGAAAGGGGCAGGGAGGAGACCAGGGAGGGAGTGTGGGATTGGGGAGGGAATGAGGGAGCGGGATACAGCTGGGACACAGAGTTAACAAAATGTAACTAAAATAAAAAAAATAAAAATAAAAATAAAAAGATAATAATGACTGTACTGTTATGAGGTGTAGAGCTGTAAAGGCTGGAAGTTAGAATCAAGGTACTAACAGGTTTGTTGTTCCCTGAGGTAGTTTTCCTTGACAGGCCTTCAGTTTCTGCTCCTTTATTAATACTGGAGCCTCACTGGGACTCATCTTAGATATCCTCTTGTTGACATATGTCATGGAGATCCTGTAGGTCTGGCTCTGCAAGACTGGCTACTTCATGAACTCTAGCAGTTTATTAGTGGGGTAGATGTTTGGGTGGGCTAGTTTAAAGCCCTGTATCTGGGCCTGACAGGTGTCTAAGCTGATCAGACCAACATTGGCAACCAGGGCCAGCTCTACTCTGCTGCCCAAGTGAAGCACAAGGTTCACTAGACCTAGTCTTGCCCATGCTGTAGCAGGTGAGGCTAGTTGTGAGGCCAGCTTTTCTATGCTCATACCCTAAGAAGCCCAGGTGAAGAATTGGGCCCGTTCTACACAGCCCTCAGACATTAACACGTCCCAGGTTAACAGACCAGACCAGGGATATCCACTTTGCCATTGGTGGTGACAGGCTCCTCCTACAGCCCCAAAGTCAGGGACCTGGAGGAGGCCCCTTATGGCAGCACAGGCCAGGACCCCACCATTGTCCCAGGCATACCAGCTACTCACATGAGGCTATCCCTCACTACCCTCGAGTCTCCAGTTCTGCCTCTCCTCATTGTGCTTGCATCCTTCTGCTTCTCCCTCTCTTCCCTTTCTCCACCACTTATTTGTTCCTCTTGTGGTACCTGGGATCTCTAAGTGTCTGGGTTCATCTCGGGAGTGGTCTCAGAAGTGCGTTGTCCTGCTCATACATATGACAATGAGCAGGGTTCATCTCGGGCATGGCTTGCAATACATGGCAGTGGTGGTCATGTCAGGCTAGTTCCCTTTCTGGTCTGGTAGTCTTCTCTGGCTTTCTATTTGCTCAGCCCACCTGAGCGGCCCTTGCAAGGTTCATCTGTCTTGGGATCTGTCTTACCCCAAGGTCCGTGATCTTAGGGAGGGTTCTTCTAGTCTCCAGCTGGCTCCCATTCCTGATAGCCACCTGGCTAGGGGCTCATCTTACGCTCACGTTTTTTAGCAAATATTAGACTAGTAATCATCCAGATATTCCTGGCTCAGAAGACTCAGCGCAGTCGTAGCCTCTCTCCCCTCTCCCACTTACGGAGGATGCACATGTGACACAGAAGTCACACCTGCAATGCCTCTAGGGGCAGGCAGCCACTAGGTTTCTAAATGAAAATCATAATGTGAAATATAAACTGTAATCAGGCTCATGGCACAGAAACATGCATTTCTTCATTATACATAACAGTCTGCTTTGTCAAATCTCTCTAACACAAATCAGGATTTTAGTTATTACACACTCTTATAAAGCCTTACAGACTCACTCTGATCAATCCAACCGTTCTACTCAATTTTCATAGAAGAAAAACTTTCTTTCTCATGTCACTAATTTTTGAAATTTGTACTTTTCCTCATTAGGTAAAACTAATCTATATAAATTGCAGACATTACCTGTCACTTAGGCAATGTCTCTTAATTTTTAACTATTTATTTATTTATTTATTTATTTATTATTTTACTTTATGTATGTGAATATTTTGCCCATGTGTATTTATTTGTGCCATATCCATGCCTAGGGCTCATGAAGGTGAGAAGAGGGCATTGTATTTCCTGTAACTGGAGTTGTGGGTGCTTGTAAACCACCATGTGGGTGCTAGAAAAAAAAGCCAGGTATTCTGCAAGACTAACAAGTGCTCTGAACTGCTGATCCAGCTCCCCAGCCCCTATTCAATATTTTTTTCCAAAATTATGGATTATACTGTGCTACATACGTTTCCGTTTTAACTAGCATCGTTCCATTTCTAATGAAAATCTATTATCACCTAAATTGTTTTAGTAATACCGAGAAGATACAAATTCAAATAGCTTTTGCTAAACTCTTTTATAAATGAAATTAGAAAAAAATTAAGCAAGGTAGTATTCTTAGGTGTCATTTTAAGGGGTCTTTGTACATTGTTATCAAAAATTAATGAATAAACAGTGATAAGTGCCTATCGCTGAAGTCACCAAAAGGTATACAATTTAGTTTTCAGTCAACCCAATTAGAAACCACATTCAGTTTACTTCAGACATGACAGCTGTATCGAAAGTACTAGTAAGAAAGTCTATTATTTCAGGATTGCACTGGCAATTCCTAGTTTATTAGTTTGCATCCCATTTTCAGCATAAGCAGAATGTTTGTTGAATAAAGTGTGGTGTGAATGGACACTCGAGCATTTGGCTAACGCAGTTGAAGAGGTAGCAGTCTGGTCCTAATGTCTGGATTTGTTTGTTTTTGTTTTTGTTTTTGTTTTTCATAACATACTATTTCCAGCTGTGTACGACTAAGTCAGTTCAAATCTAGTTACTTAAAATATAATTGTGTATTTATAAATAAGTTGACTAAAATAACATTTAATGGTTAACAGTACTCATATACCTTGTAAAAAACTTGTACAAAAATATATGTTTAATTCCACACTAAATTTTTCTTAAGTGGGCATGTTGGTTAAGATAACCACTTGGTTTCCATGGAATGTTAAAATAGCTGCATCCCGTGAGACATTTTATAAAATAAAAATTAAAAATATCATAAAATTAATTCCATATTTTCTTTTTTTGGCTCTTTTGATATAGGCCAAATTCTCACTTTTCAGAGTTGAATATCTAAATAAGTTCAATGAGGGCCTCTGAAAGCCAGAAGAAAACAGGAAACAACCTTGGAACCTGCCACAGAGGGCCTCTGAAAGCCTCTGCAGTATAGACTGTCAAAGCAGATGCTGAGCCTGATGGACAACTGATGGGCAGAGTGAATGGAATTTTATGTAAGAAGTGGGAAATAGTAAGAGCTGGAGGGGATGGGAACTCCACAAACAGAGCAACAGAACAAGATAATTTGAACACAGGGAAATTCCCAGAAAATCATACTCCAACCAAGGACTATTCGTGGAGATAACCTAGAACCCCTGCACAGATGTAGCCCATGGCAGTTCAGTGTCCAAGTGGGTTACATAGTAATGGAAAGAGGGACTACCTCTGACATAATCTGATTGGCCTGCTCTTTTATCACCTCCCCCTGAGGGGGGAGCAGCCTTACCAGGGCACGGTAGAGGACAATGCAGCCACTTTTGATGATAACTGATAGACTAAGATCAGAAAGGAGAGGAGAACCTCCCCTATCAGTGGACTTGGGGAGTGGCATGCATGAAGACTTGGGATCAGGAAGGGAGGAGGGAGGGGCTTATGGGGGGATACAAAATGAATAAAGTGTAATTAATAAAAAAAAATGCAAAAAAATTGTACATTGTTTCTTTCATTTGAATAAAAGAGTATTGGGAGTACATATTGAAGAACATTCTGTTAATAATGAATACTTCATTGTTAAGTAATAACATACCTAATGGCTCAGCATCACAGCGTTAATTGCAGGTAATGCACTAAAACAACCTTTGAAAGTTAAAGATTATAATTTATTATTTAAAAAAACAAATACTGAAAATTAAAATATTTGGTTTAATTACCAATTAAACCATTATGTTTTATACTACTTGTATTGATATTTGAATCTGTTGATGACTTAGTTCTATAATTAAATATTAATGTTGTTTAAATATTTTTGTCATGGATATTAACTTTGCAGTTTTATTTAGCACATTTTACATGTTTTAAAAATTGTTAAAAAACAAGTTATTATTGAAAATTTCTTTCATTTATAATACTTGGACAATATGAGATACATCCCATTAATTCTGAATTAAAAGTTTAAAAGGCATAAAATTTTACTATGTAATTTATTATATTGATTTAAAAATGTCATAATCATATCCTATGAGCACACTTTATACACTGTGCTAATTCATAAGCAATCATGATGTAGAAAATGCAGAAGTACAAAGTTTAAACATCATGTTTAATCTCACTACATGAAAGGCCTCTGACATTTTCCCTATTTATAGTTACATTCAAATACTGGCAAAGATCCATCAAACATATATAATAACCTAGCAGTGAATCATGGGGAACTTTTTCACTTTCCTGGAAAAACCCACACACTTGATGTTCTTTACTTTTGACTTTCTGATTCCTTTGCTCTGGACATACTTTCTGTATTAGCTTGCTCAAAGTACATATTATGAAGGCACAAATACATTTCTGATTATACATTTTTTTAATTAAATAAACTGGAGTTCTACTGTCCTTTCTAATTTATATCCAAATGCAACTACTCCAAACAGTCTCTCAACTGACAAAATGAAAAAGATGGATTTGCGGTTTATAGTCAGGTATATAAGAAGCTTGGGTATCACCTGTCCATACCAGCAGCAAGAAAAAAGAAAAAGAAAGAAAGAAACAGAAAGAAAGAAAGAAAGAAAGAAAGAAAGAAAGAAAGAAAGAAAGAAAGAAAGAAAGAAAGAAAGAAAAACAAGGAGAGAAAGAGAGAGACAGGGAGAGAAATAATGAAAGAAAGAGAAAAGAAAAATGAAAATAAGCAAATCTCAAAAAACAAATATAGCACAAAATTCCTCGAATTAGAAGGACATTAGGGTTGAGGAATCAGTAACAACTAATCAACAGACACTTCCATGGGAAGAGATGTGGAAGAGAGATAATCAAAAATTGTAATTCAAAACATGCTAGAAACTGTCTAATGACCAAGTTTGAAATTATATTTTAAGAAATACAGGTGGAGCAATACACATAGGAAAGAAAGGAATAAAAAATTATTTCAACTCTTGGAGTCTTCCAGGTTATCTCAATGAATAGAGAATTTTCTCTGACCTTACAGAACAACAAGCTAAACAATTTTGTCCTCTAGTATCTTTGTTTTTCTCTTTAATTTAGTAGTATTTTTGACAATTTCCCACATACATGGGAAATTATATATATCATGTATGTTCATTTTATATATATATATATATATATATATATATATATATATATATATATTAAATATGACAAAGAAAATATACAGTGGGTATATTTTATACTCCCCTTTACTCTTATCCTACTCTGTTGCCTACAGGCTCACTTTTTTAAATTAAATTTTTATTTTTTTATATTAGTTACAGCTTATTTACTTTGTGTCCCAGCTGTAGACCTCTCCCTCATTTCCTCCCAATCCCACCCTCATCTCCTCCCTGCCCCTTTCTAAGTCCACTGATAGGGGAGGTCCTCCTTGCCTTCCATCTGATCCTAGCTTATCAGGTCTCTTCAGGACTGGCTGCAATGTCCTCCTCTGTGGCCTAGCAAGGCTGCTCCTACCTCGGTGGGGGGATGGGGGAGGAGAAGAAGATCAAAGAGTCAGTCATTCAGTTCATATCAGTAGGAGAAAACAAGTAACAAGACAGGAGCTTACCACAGAGGGCCTCTGAAAGATTATACCTAGCAGTGTATGAAAGCAGATGCTGAGACTCATAACCAAACTTTGGACAGAGTGCAAGGAATCATATGAAAGAAGGGGGAGAGGACAGGAGCTCCACAAGGACCAAATATGTCTGGGCACAGGGGTCTTTTCTGAGACTGTTTCCCAAGCCAAGAACCATGTATGGATATAACCTAGAACCCCTGTTCGGATGTAGCTCATGGCAGCTGACTCACTTTTATCCCATATAGTCACTCCCCTATCTGAGTGTGTTTTTTTGATGTGTATACAAGTCTTATGTAGTGATTCACATTTGTTGTCCATGCATGTTTGCACAGTCTCTTTATATCCATGAAAAAGTGCTGCTCTCCATTTCCTGTCTCTGACATTCTTTTTTGCCCCACTTTCTATAATCTCCAACCTTGGCAGAGGTTCCATATAGAGAGTTTCCTTAGGGCTAAGCATTCAAGAGTCACTCTCCACAGTTTAAGCAATTACATGTGTATGCCTTAGCCACTGCTCACTGCAAAAAGCAGCTTCCCTGCCCACAGCTGAAAGGACCATTAGTGTACAGAAACAAACATGAGCATTTGGGTTGTGTCCGTTTACAGACTTTGTTCTCGATAGCTGACAGCCTGCTCAGCCTGTTGCTGTTCTTCTTAATTACTGTGTACCTATTGCATAGTACACAGAGGGCAACCTATTGCGTTACTTTTCTTTGAAACTGCACAACATAGGAGATTTAAGGATTTTCTAGACAGGCCCTTAAAATTCAGATTATTCAGCCGGAAGAGTGTTCCTTCTTGTATTT